TGTCACTGGGGGGGGGTCAGTGTCACCCTGTCACTGTTGGGGTCAGTGTCACCCTGTCACCGGGGCAGTGTCACCCTGTCACTGGGGGGGGGTTCAGTGTCACCCTGTCACCGGGGGGTCAGTGTCACCCCGGGGGGAAGGGGGGGGTGTAGCAGCTCTGATCCCTGTGATTGTCACAGTGGGCATGGCGGGGGGGGGGGGGGGGGGGGAGGGGTTCCCAGAGCCCCCCAAAGCAGGGGAGGGGTCCTCTGAGCCCCCCCAAAGCAGGGGAGGGGTTCCCAGAGCCCCCCCAAAGCAGGGGAGGGGTCCTCTGAGCCCCCCCAAAGCAGGGGAGGGGTTCCCAGAGCCCCCCCAAAGCAGGGGAGGGGTCCTCTGAGCCCCCCCAAAGCAGGGGAGGGGTTCCCAGAGCCCCCCCAAAGCAGGGGAGGGGTTCCCAGAGCCCCCCCAAAGCAGGGGAGGGGTCCTCTGAGCCCCCCCAGCACCCCCGTGGTGCCAGCCCCAGGAGGGGGCAGGGCCGGGGGGATTCATCCACGGAGCTTTTGGAGCTGGAAGAGAAGAGGGCAGTGAGAGAGGAGTGGGGGGGGGGCCGGGGGACCCCCAAATTCCACCCCCCGGGGTCCTCACCTCACTCTCCACCAGGTTCCGCTTGTACAGAGCCTCCTTGGCTGCCTCCTGTGGGGGGGGACCCAAAACAGCACCCCAGGAGTTTGGGGGTGCACCAGGAGTTTGGGGGTCACATCAGGAATTTGGAATTGGGGGAAACACAAATTGTGAGGGCACCGAGAATTTGGGGGGATCACCAGAGTTGAGAGTCTCCAGGGTTTAGGGGGAGGCCAGGAATTTGAGGGGTGCACCAGGATTTGGGGGGACTGAGGAGGGTTTGGAGGGGCAGCAGGAATTTGGGGGACATCGGGGTTGGGGGGGCAGCAGGACTTGCGGGGTGCAGCAGGAATTTAGGGGGCACCAGGATTTGGGAGGTCCCGAGGTTTTGGGGGGACAGTCCGGGATTTCTGGGGCGGGACCCCAGGATTTGGGGGTGTGGAGGAGGCTCCGGGGGTCTCACCCGCTCTCCCTGGATGCCGAGGCGCCGCGCCGCTTCCGTGTAGAGCCGCAGGTGCCGCTCCAGGTGCTCCGCGTACTCTGGGAACGGGAAAAACCGGGATACACCAAGGAAAACCGGGATACACCAAGGAAAACCGGGATAAAGGAGGATTTTGGGGCTCAGGGCAGCCCGAGCCCCCTCTCACCCGTGCGGAAGTGGGGGTCCCCCGCCTGCAGCCGCGTCCGCAGCCCCTGGATGCGCCGGAGCAGATCCTGGTGCTGCTGCCGCAGCTCGGGGGGCACCGGGCGCCCGGCGCGGCCGAACGGCACCATCTGGGGTGGGGGGTGGAAAACGGGGGGCTCAGGAACATCCCCCGGCTTCCCTGAACCCCCAAAGCGCCACCAGCGCCCCCTCACCTTCCGCTCCAGCCGCTCCCGGTCAAACTGCAGCAGGTTGAGGCTCGGGAATGTGGGCATGGATCTGGGAAGAGCGATCGGGGATGGAGATAAAAAGGGAGAGGGGACCCCTGAAAAATCCAGAGCGGCCCCAGGATATTGGAAATGGGGAATGGGGGTCCCAGGGGACCCCAGAGCTTCCCAGCCACATCCCCCCCACCCCAATGCTTCTCCCGCAAGGATCATCTCCCCCCGGAATTCCCGGTGTTCCCCCATCCCTCACCTGTTGTTCCCGTCCTTCGGGGCCGCCACGGTCGGTTTGGGAACGGCGACCTGAGCGGGAGCAGCTCTGGGTCACCCCAGGATCTCCCCCCCTGCCCACCCCGGGGCTCCCCCCACTCACCGCGGCCTCGGCTCGCGGCTCCAGCACCAGCCAGCGCTCGGGGCGAGGCTCCAGCTGCCGCTGCGAGCCCAGCGGCTCCC